AACATATGATGGAAATGGAATTAACTTGGCTACACCAAGTTATGGATGCTTGTACAGTAAATTTTTAAATCTGAATCAGCTCTGTAGTTTATTTACTTCTGGAAAATCTTTAGGATTAGAGTGGACTAGAGGGAGGACAGTATTCACTTACTTTTAACAAATTAGTCAACGTGCTAATCCATTCTATTTTTTTCTACATTTAGTTAATAGTGGTGCTAGGAAAAAAAAAGTCTACAAGTTGAGTGAGCTCAATTACCACAAAGGTTTACCATGTTTTCTTTTGAGGAGGGGTTTGACAAGCTATATCAAAAACTCAGAAGGAAAGGGGAAGTTTTAGAGTTAATGCTATTTCAACTTCAGCAAGAAAGAGAAAGAGGAAATAATCTGGCAGAACTATACAGGTAGACACACAAAATAAGTCACTTTCCAGCACCTCCTTGCCCCACCAACCTTTGAGTCACATCATTTAGAAGCTGTACTAAATGATACAGTTGCAGGGTACACCATCATCCAAAAATATAAACTTGGCAGTGTGTTTGTTACCACATGGAGAAATACTACCAGAAAATAAACCCAACATTAAGACAGAAGAGCTCAGCTGGTGTGGCTCATGCACTAAGAGGTTGCTTGTTTGATTCCCAGCCAGGGCACGTTCCTTGGCTGTGGGCTCCATCCCCATTACCGGGCATGCAGGAGGCAGCCGATCGATCTTTGTACCTCTCCCTCACGGTGTCACTCTAAAAAGTCAATGAAAACATATTTAAAAAATAAATAAATAGCCCTGGCCAGTTTGGCTCAGCGGTTAGAGCGTTGGCCTGCGGTCCGGAGAGACCCGGGTTCGGTTCCCGCTAAGGGCATGTACTTCGGTTGCGGTTTGTCCCCGGCCCTGGTTGGTCGTGTGGGTGGCAGCCACTCGATGTGTCCCTTTCACGTCGATGTGTCTCTCTCTCTCTCTCTTCCTCTCTCTCCCTCCCACTCTATCTGTACAAAAAATGGAAAAATGTCCTCGGGTGAGGATGAAAAAATAAATAAATAAATAAATAAATAAATAAATAAATAAATAAATAAATAAAGCCCTGGCCAGTTTGGCTCAGCGGTTGGAGCGTCGATCTGTGGACCAGAGAACCCCAGGTTCAGTTCCCAATAACGGCATGTACCTTGGTTGCAGTTTGTCCCAGGCCCTGGTTGGAGTCATGCGGGTGGCAACCACTTGATATGTCTCTCTCACGTGGATGTTTCTCTGTTTCTCTTCCTCCCACTCTAGCTGAAGATAAATTGAAAAAAAACAAAAACAAAACACGAAGCAAAAGATGATAAGGAAGAATACTGATGATGCATTTGAAGCCCAAGAACCGGCCGTGCCCGGAGTCAGTATCTTGGACTTCTTGGTTATGTGTGCCAATAAATTCTTCTTTTTAAAAATTATTATTATTATTGTTACTACTATTTTTTTATCCTCATCCGAGGACATTTTTTGTTCAGATAGAGTGGGAGGGAGGGAGGGAGAGAGAGAGAGAGAGAAACCTTGCCGTGAAAGGGACATGAGTGGCCACCTCCTGCGTGACCCAACCAGGGATGGGGACAAACGCAACTGAGGTACATGCCCTTAGCAGGAACTGAACTCGGGTCTCCCTGGACCGCAGGCCGATGCTCTAACTGCTGAGCCAAATGGGCCAGGGCTAAAAATTATTTTTAATCCTCACCCAAAGGTATGCTTAGAAAGAGAGAAACATCAATGTGAGAGAGAAACATTGATGTGAGAGAGAATCATCAATAGGCTGCTTTCTGTTTGCTCCCCAACTGGGGATCAAACCTTCAACCCAGGTATGTGGAATCAAACCAGCAACCTTCCAGGATGGTGCACAGGATGACACTCAACCAACTGCCACTCCAACTGGGCAAATTCTCCTTTTTGTTTAAGCTAAATTGAATCGAATTTCCGTCATTTGCTACTGAAAGAATTTTAACGACCTTACTGCAAAAAAATGTATTAAGCATCTATAATGTGCCAGGCACTCTATCAGTAATCAGAGTTAGAATGGTGAGCATGCTTATGATTTTTGTTCTTGGATTTACTTTCACAGTGCTAGCCAACCACCTGAAACAGCTCGTTCAGCAAAAGGTGTCATTTCACCTTTGGAGGTTAAAAAGTCAGTCCTTTAGAAGCCAAGGAGATTCAAGAGTTTTTGTCATGGATTGCAAATAAGTGACTACAATTTCTTTGTGGAGTCTATTTCTACATCCTGAGGCTTGGCATGTGACATAATTTGGCTAATGTGACATCAGTAAATGACATTGAAACAGTTGAAATTTTCTGTGTAGCGCAGTGATTTTCAACCTATTCATTTCATGGCGCACATAAACTGATTACTAAAATTCTGTGCCATACCAAGAAGTATATTTTTTGCCAACCTGACAAAAAAATAGGTACAATACTAATTTGTTCACACTGATGGCTATTGTTTTGTTGGCTGTTGTCATTTTTGTATTTGATAGTCTAAGGGAAAAGAGATCAGTGTCCCTGATTAAATAGTCAAGTGTTGCATGTTTTAAAAATTCTTGTGGCAAACCAGTTGAAAATTGCTGGTGTAGAGGAATTGTTGACCATGTCACATAGTTATAGCTGAAAGACTCTTCCGCTGTTTATTTTTAAGTATGGATTTGTACTAGTCAGGACCTTTCAATGTCATGTAAAAGACATCCGACTGAATTAGTTAGGACTTTGAGTTTTGAGGCACAAACCCCACCAGTACAAACAGGCTTAAATAACACAGGTTATTTATGACTCACAATTCTAAACAGTATAGACATGAGTCTACAAACAGGTGAGGTCTGATAATGTAGCTCTAATGATGCCACCAAACATAAGGTTCTTCTTTCAGCATTCATTGACAATATTGACTTTATTTTCAGGCTCTCTACTCGTCCCTTTCCCTCAAACCCATTCCCTTCAGGCTTTCCTCTTGTAGGAGCAAAATGGCTGCCACATTTTTAGAATTCATGTACTTACACCATACCAGAAAATCAAGGATGCTGCAGTTTACTACAAGTCTAAAGTCAAGTCTCTGTGGGGCTCATTGGTTCTGATTGGGTTGTATAACCATCTCTGAAACTTCCAGCCACTAGTGGGTATTGTTATGCTGCATGGTTTCAATGGGAGGCGTGAATACTCAGGAGGCAACAAATATGTTCTATAACCACAAAAATCGGTCCTAAATAATAATAAATAAATAAACGTATCAGTTCACCCAGCTAGGCTCCCCTGCTCCAAGCACTTAAAGAGTTCTAAAAACCATGGCCTCTGAAACGAAAACCAGTTTTCATGCTGCCAGTTCTGAGATTCTTCTCTCTCTCTCTCTCTCTCTCTCTCTCTCTCTCTCTCTCACGCGCGCACGCGCCCCTTTGGCCTCATTCATCCTACTGTGGACAGGCCTCTTTATATTGTGAAGAAAATGGCCAGCAGTAGTTACCTCAGTAAAAAGCTTTTTCCTTTTCCAGGTCTATGTCCATATAGCAGTTTCAAGCAAGGGCTCGAAAATGCCCCGACTTGAGTCAGTGTCTACCTTTTGGCCCAGTCAGCGTTGCCAGAGGCAGAGTATGGGAGTTGTCATGGCAACATGCCCATTTTTAGTAGTCGGGACACTTTTGTTGCCAGAGGGAAAATAAAAAAGCTTTTCAAGCAGTCAGAAAACAGTGGCTACCACAGACTATCTAATCGTGGGAGGCTCTTGAATGTCAGGCTGAGAGGGCTGAACTTGACTGGGTAGAAAATGCAGAGTACAAGGGAGAGACCTATTGTCAGATTGGAGGGAAGCTGATTGGAGAGGTACAGTGCAAGACAGATTAGAAGTCAATCTAAATATGTAATGAGGTTCTAAAGAGTATGGAATGTGGGGATGGAAGAGGTTAGGGACTGAGTATCTATCCCAAATGGTATTCCCCCTAATAGGCTGCCAAATTTTATAAAACAAGAATACTTCAAAAGAACCCCGATTTCCAGCCATGTATTAACAGAGCAATTCGTAAGACTTTGTGAAGGATTTCTGGAGGAACTCGATATTCCCAGTCGTCCCCGTGATTAAGTTCTTTCTATTTGCAAGCTAAATATGCACTGCGCAATTCTTCGTTCTAATTCAGGTGTTTGTAAACGTTGAACCAAAGAAGGCGGTGGAAGACGGCAGTCCCTCAGTCCCGCAAGTACCAAGGGCTGGCCCTTGTCAACACCGATTTTATTTTATTTTTTAGGAATTCTGAGGATGGTCTAGAGCTTCATTTATCTTTCCTCAGAGGCCCACGGCGCCTCTGAGCCATAGCCCTCAGAGAAGTCCTCGGCCCAAGCTAAAGGTGCCTCACGCAGCCTAAGGGTGGGATGTCCCACCCAGTCACAGGCTGGGCCGACCTCCTAAGCTGGTTTAACTGGTTAGGACTGAAGCCCGCTGGCACAAAAAGTCTGAACTTCGGTAGCTGAGGAACAGACTGGCTAGAGCGTGAAGAGGAAAGGTATTGCCTTTATCAAAACCACCGCAGACGCTACCCTTAAACCAACTTCGCTGATATTCGCTCCGGGTAGGTGTACGTCCCACCCAGTCCCCCAAGACCAGGAACTGCGCAGGCGCTCGCAGAAGCGCGGCGCATTCTCTCGCGCGCTCCTTCAGTTTCCTCAACTAGCTTCTGGGCCGCAGGAGGCGCGATGCCTCTTGGGTGTTGCAGTGTGCTTCCTTGATGAAGGGCCGCCCTGTAGACAGGGCGCTGGGTTTCCGAGAACTACGTCTCCCAGCATACCCTGCGCAAGGCCGAGGGCGTTTGCTCTTGTCGGATTTAGCCGTCAGCGCGAAGCCGGGAAGCCGGCTGCAGCGGGAGGAGGGAACGCGCTTGCGCGCTGGGGCGGCTTGTCCTGTTCGTCCCAATCATTGTAAACAGGCGGAGGCTGGGGCGGGGTGAGAATGGGGCGCCCGAGGCCGGCCAGGGGTTCAGCTCAGGAGGATACGGTGGCTGCAGCGGCAGCGTGAGCGCGAGGAGGCGGTGGCTGCGGCGGGGGTGGGCGGTCGCGCAGCGGCAGGCACAGGTTAGTGAGGGGCAGCGGTGGCGTGCGGGGGTCGTAGTTTACCCTCCTGGCGTGCCCGGGGAGCCCTTTTAGCACCCGCCTCGCAGCTGCGTCTGTCAGGCAGCCTGTGGGGCTGGGCGCTAGCTGCGCGCTGGGCTGGAGTTGGGGGTGGGGGGCGTGGCTGCCCCTTAGTGCGGGTTCTTCTCAGGCAAGCTTTTCCGTAGTTCTCGCCTTCTTTGCTGTGCGTTCCTCCCACTTCCCCGCCGGGCCTCCCTCTTGGCAGCCGCATTTGTAATTTGGTTCTCTCCGGGTCTGGGGGAGGAGAGTTAGGAACCGAGCCCCTCCCCCCTTGAGGCTCCAGGCCTCTGGGCAGCTCTTGGGTACATCGGAACGGAAGAGAGGGACTCAGTCTTTTATATAACCATACTGTTTTCTAATCGCACCCGGAGTATTGACCCCTCCTCCAGTGCTTGCCCGGTGGACTAGGCACAGGCTCTTGATGTTTCCCACCGCTGGCATGTAAGCAGTGGGATCCTTTGGATGCTGCCGTCCTTACTTCAGGTTTTAGTGGGAATGGATGGGCAGATCTGGGGTTGAGAATTACTTTCACAGCTCATTTTCAACTGTGTTTGTGCCAAAATGCTATTGTTGAGGTCAGCTTTTTTTTTTTTTTTTTTTTTTAATTGTTATGAGAGTGAAACAGGTTTTACAAAATATTCCATACCCTAGTCTTTCCTGAAGTAATTATGCTATTTCAAGTTTGGGAATTTATTGCTACAGAGCCTCCCTCTTGAGCAAGCATCATTATTCCCCTAGGGCCAAATAGAATTCTTGAAGAGAATTAAGCTTGAATGTGCTACGAAAGAAGTACAGTCGTTTGGGCATTGAGTTAACACACCGCGTAGCCTCATTAGAAAAGCTTTTCTTTTCTTTTTTGTTTAGTGGAGTGGGTATGTCCAATGCTGGAGCACTTTGAGTAGCATTCTGTTATTCACAAAATATTTAAGTGGTGATAAGGAATAGGCCCACTTTTGGTTTGGTGATCATGGAGGCAGCACTTATAAATGGGACGGTGAATGAGAAAGGTAACCTCACTTTCTGCCTTTTAAGTTATCTTAGTGATTGGATAATTCCTTTGTGAGTATTTTCCTGAAGATGAATAAGTGCTGTAAGCTATATTGGCAGTTGAAAGGAAGTTAGTGGAGTGGTTCCCACTTTTCAAAGTGACCTGTAGACTTAAGGCGGGTCGGCTAGTTTAACAGTAACCATTGAGAATTCTTTAAGCAAAGTATCTTAAAGCAGTGTGACATAACTTAAATGCTTTCTCTTCAAAATAGTATTTTTCACTTTAGATCTTTCAGGGACCATTTCCTTCCTAATTTAGAAAAAGAAGCGGTATCAGAAAATACATATTAACTTTAACTTGTGTAGTTGTATTTGCAGTTGTTCGCTTGTCTGGGAGAGATTGGACCCTGAATGTAATCCAAAAGTATGTTCTTTCTTTTTGAAAGAAAAATCCCAATAGAAAGGTATGTTAGTATATGTGGAGAGAATAAGGAAAAATGTGGATCATTTAGTATAGAGGAAATACTATGTAGCAGGTACTCTGCTAGGGAAAGAGGACTTTCAGATGGAAAAGGCAGTGCTCCTGCCTTCAGGGTGGTTAAGACTTATCTTTTACTTGAATTGTCAACAAGTACAATATGTTTTTAAGATTGCTTTGATTGGAGAAAGTATGTATGGGGTACAGTGGAGTACAATATGTTTTTAAGATTGCTTTGATTGGAGAAAATATGTATGGGATACAGTGGGTGTGGAAAGGAGGAGGTAGTGGTCAGTTTCTTAAGGAGAGAAAAAGAGATTGAGGAAGGGGGCAGTAGTAAGGAAAAAGTATATATAGGAGGGGATGAAAATGTTTAAGTATATAGGCATAGAAAGTATACAGGCATAGATGGGCATTTAGATACAGTGTGAGAAAAATCACAGGAGGATATGCAAGTAAAGCTAGTGAGAGTATAGGCTGGTGGTAAGACATGAAATTGGGGAGCTAGGCAGAGAACAAATTGTGGATAGTCTTGTATACAATTGAGGTGATTTCACCTTTACCTGTAAGCAAATAGGAGTCATTGAGACAGGATAAACGAGAGGCCTAAGCCAGCCCCACCCATTTTAACTACCTGCTTTGTGTTAAGCATTATATCAGGTTCTTTATGCCCTATGTCTTTAAATTTAAAGAAGGCTTAGGGATGACTGAGGGAAAAATGAGAAGAAAGGAACTTAAGGCAGAGGGAAAGTTGGACATAAGAGAGAGCATGGAACATTTTTTTAAATGGAAAGTTGTTCTCTACAGCTATAGCATTGAGTTTATTATAAGTATTGGGTTTATGGTATGTAGCAGAAGATGAAGCTGCACAGATGGATAATAATAGATTTTATGGATTTTAACCAGAAAAGAGCCATGATAAGGGTTTTATTTTAGAAAGATCATTCTGGTAGAGTATAAATTTCAGAAGGGATAGATGGAAGATAAGGCAGGACACAGAATGGTTGGAGTTTTAGTAATAATTGAGATGACAGATAAGGGCCTAAACAAAGGTAGTGTCAGTGGAGACACAGAGGAGTAGGTTAATACCATATACATTTAGAAAGTAGAATTTATAGGATTCAGTAACAATTGGATTTGGGAAATAAGAAATAATAGGATAAGATAACTTGGATTTTAATTTGGGTGATTGAGTCAACAATGGTAAAGTATATTGAGATGGAATTCTGGAAGACATCCAAATTTGTGGAGGAACAGTATTTTGCTTTTGGATATATGGAGTGGAAGTTATCTATGAAATATCTGCTGCAGAGTTGGATATATGGGTTTGGAGTGTGAGAGAGGTCTTGAGAAGAGAGTCATCAGGCTATGTATATTGTAGGTGGTAGCTGAAGCCTTTGATTTAGGTAACACTACATAGGAAGAATTTATTGATGGAGAATAGTTCTGAAAATAGAACATGGAGAACAACAACATTTAAAGCCAGAAAGAGGAAGAACTGGAAAAGGGAGTTCCTAAGTGTTTTGAGTTGTGGGGAAATCATGAGCAAATGTCATAGATACCCAAATAGGATCATTTCAAAAGGAAGCTATACTTCATAACCAACTCCAGAAAAAAAAAAAAAAAATTAAAAAAGGAAGCTGTACTTCAACTGCTTTGAGAACTTCAGTAAAACAAGGATTATTAAGAGTCTATTGAATTTGATAATAGCAGTTTTGTAGCATTCTACTTAATGCTAACAATTGGGAGAGAAGCTAGGTTTCATTGAATTGAGTAATTGGGAGGTCAGAGAGTGGAGAAAGCAAATATAGATTACTTCAAGAATAAACAAATCTTAGCTGTGAAGGGAAGACTAGAAGGCGGTATTAGGGGGTAATAAAGGGTTAAAGGAGGGATTTTTTTTTTTTTTAAACATGGCAAAAACTTGATTTTTTTCTTATAACAGCTTTGTTGAGATATAATTAGTATAACATAAACTTCGTCCATTTAAAATTTACAATTCAGTGGTTTTTGTATAGTCAGTTGTGCAACCATCTCCACAGTAAATTTTAGAACATTTTCATTACTCCAAAAGAGAAACTTCTTACTCATTATCAGTCATTGACCATTTCCCCTGTTACCACCCACTAGCAACCACTAATATACTTTCTGTCTCTGTTGAGTAGCCTATTCTGGACATTTCATATAAGTGGAATCATATATGTGATCATTTGTAACTGACTTCATTAGTATAATATTTCCAAGTTTCCTCCATATTGTAGCATATAACAGGACTTCATTCCTGTTTATTAAAATCCTCACCCAAGGATATGTTTCCATTGATTTTTATTTTTTTATCTTTATTTTGACAGTATTACCAATGTCCCTTATTTTCTCCACCTTAGCCCCCCTCCACCCAGCCCCCACCTGACAACCCCAGGCCTTCCTCACACTATTGTCTGTGTCCTTATGCATGTAAGTTCTTTAGTTTATCTCTTCTCAATATCACCACTCCCTTCCTTCTGAGGTTTGTCAGTTTGTTCCCTACTTCCATATCTTGCCCTGGCCAGTTTGGCTCAGCTGTTAGAGCGTCGCCCAGTGGACCAGAGTCCTGGGTTCAGTTCCCGCTAAGGGCACGTACCTCGGTTGCAGTTTGTCCCCAGCCCTGGTTGGGGTTGTGCGGGTGGCAACCAGTCAATGTGTCTCTCTCACATGGATGTTTCTCTCTCTCTCTCCCTCCTGCTCTATCTGGAAATAAATGCAAAAGTGTCCTTCAGTAAGGATTTAAAAAAAAAAGTCTTACCTACTTCCATGTCTCTGGATCTATTTTGAATGTCAGCTGATTTTGTTCATTATGTTCCATGAATAAGTGAGAACATGTGATACTTGTCTTTCTCTGACTGGCGTATTTCGCTCAGCATAATATTCTCCAGGCCCTTCCATGTTATCTCAAAGGGTAAGAGATCTTTCTTACAGCTGCATGGTAGTCCATTGTGTAAATGTACTACAGCTTTTTTATCCACTCATCTACTGATGGACACTTGGGTTGTTTCCAGATCTTAACTATTGTAAATAGTGCTGTTATAAACATAGGGGTGCATATATACTTCTTCCTTTCCAATATAAATACCTTTTGTTTATTTATTTTCTTGCCTAATTGCTCTGGCTAGAACTTTTAGTACAACGTTGAATGGAAGTGGCAGGAGCAGACCTTGTCTTGTTTTCTCATAGGGGGAAAGCTTCTAATCTACCATTAGATATGATGTTAACTGGATTTTTCATTGAAGCCCTTTATTAGTTTGAAGAAGTACCTTTCTTTTCCAAGTTTGTCAGATGTTCTGTTGAATGGCTGTTGAGTGTGTTTCTTAATTTCTACATAGTTTTGAATTTTTCAAAAAAAATTTTCTATTACTGATTTCCAGTTTTACTTCATTGTGGTCAGAGTTACAGGGCATCCCCCCCAAAAATGTATACAGAGTGTCTGTAGATTCTATTACAT